CTTAAAGGGAAGAAGGTAGCTTGTCTTCAACTTCTCCCAGGAAACCACATGACTGAGAAGGTGTTAGCTATTAGTTTTATGGAAGCACAATAGTTAAGATGCACTCAGTCAAGTTTTAACATACACACACACACACACACACACACACACACACACACACACACACGTAGCAGGACTTTGTACTACCAGCTCCCAAATAATGACATGGAGACTTCTTCTTAAGTATGAATGCTTGGCTTTAGCTTAGGCTTGCTCCCAACTAGCTCTTAAAACTTAACCCATTTATATTAATCTACATTCTGTCACGTGGCTCGTTCCCTCTCCTCCATACTGTACTTTGAATCTCCCTGGAGAATCCTGCCTCTCTTCTTGCCAGAGTTCCTACTTCTTCCGGAAGTCCCACCTATCCTCTGCCTAGCTATTGGCTGTTCAGCTCTTTATTAAACCAGTCAGAAGGTGCTTTGTCGGAGACACATCTTCACAGTGTACAAAGAAGATTATCCCACAACACACACACACACACACACACACACACACACACACACACACACACGGCTGCAAGATGGCTCTGTGAGTAATAGCACTTTCCATACAAGCCCAGTGATTTGAGTTCAATTTCCACAACCCACATGGTGAAGAAGAAAGTTATTCTCTGACTTCCTGGCAGCATTTTCACATGTATTTAAAAAAGAGAGAAGCCAAAATTCATTGCAAGTGAGAAAAAATTCATAATCCTTAAATAATTGTGAAAAAAGATGTTGTAATTACCTTAAAGGTAAACATCTTAACAAAAGAACTCAGAAACTTAGGATGGCATACAAGCATGTTTAAAGGATTAAGTTCGCTAATGCCAACATCCTCTTTGAGGATAAAACCATCTCCTAAAGCCAGGATATTTCATTACTTGAAGTTCTTATTAATAAAGTCAGAATAAAAAAAGAAACAGCCTTCATAAGGGGATAAGTACTAACAAACTCAATTCAATCATTAAAAATATTCAGAAATAACCAAAGTTGTGAGGTTCCTTTTGGGCTCTCAGTGTGAGGGTGCAGTCCATCTGGGGAGGAAGGCTTTACAACAATTATGATTCCAGCTGTGACATCAGGAGCTTGAGGTGGCTGATCACGTTGTTAGACGTGCACTCGGAGTCGCAAAGAAAGAGACCCACAGCATTTGGCGTGCAGGGCCAAGGCAAACTTTACTTGATGCCTCCAGAAGAGTGAGCACATGGAGCAGGCAGGGCATTTGGGTTTCGTTCTGACTCAGGTGTTGGCTGGTTTTCCCTCTGTTTGCTGGGGTCCAACCTCACAATCTTATTCAACTGGCTAGTCTGAAAAGAATTGGCCAAACAGGAAATGGAGGAAGGGAAAGGGGGCCCCTGGTCCAAAGAGAAAAGGGTCACTGCGCTAGGCCATCAAATTCCTAGAATAGAGCAATGAGCCTTTGTGTAAACAAAGGATTTACTGGGTGGAGAGGATCCAAACATTTGCATAAAAGTCTTACAAGGTGGGAGAGATGGAAAAAAAAAATCTAAATTCCTTGTCCTAAACATAAATTTTATAGTAGTCGAAAGACTCATATTTGATATTTCTTACAACATGGCGCTCATGGTCATTAAGCAAAGAGAGAGAAATAGTCATGTTCATCTGTCTTTTACTCAGTTTGAACCCAGCCCAAGGGATAGTGCTGCACACAATCAGGGTGGGTCTTTCCTCCTCCATTAAGTCTCTCTGGACCCCACCCTCATAGGCATGCCAAGAAAAGTGGTTCTAGATGACTCCATTCCAGTCAAACTGACAACTGAGATTAATCATCACAGTCATGACATAAAATATGTGCAATTAGCCCCTGAGAAACTGTTCAATATCATTGCTCATTAGGGAAATGCAAATGAAAACTATAATGGAATACTAGTGTATACTCGTTAGCATGTCTAAAAAAGTCTTGACCACATTGAGTATTGGCAAAAGATATAGAAGACTTAGAATTCTCACTGCTGGTGGGAATGTAAAATTAGACAAGCATTTTTGAACAGTTGGGCAGTTTGCTAAAAAGTTGAACACTTAGCTCCCATATGACCCAGACATTCCACTTGCAGATATTTATCCAAGAGGAAGAAGACCATATGCCCACACAAAGATTTGAAGAGGAATGTTCATTGTTAATCCCAAAGGGTTGAGAATAAAACCATCACCACAATTTAAAGTGAAATTTGAAGCAAGCTTAAATTAAATACTGGCCAGGTGGGTGGGCTACGGCCAGGTCCATCTCTGACTTTCTAGAAAAATGACCCCAATCAAGTTTTGCAGAGGCTTAAGAAGCCACAACCCATAATTCACCACATTTCCCATGAGGTCCAATCAGGGGCAAGCATACATCCTGACGTACTTCCCGCCTGTGCACCTCCTGCTTACATCCAGTCAGGTATAAGGCTAGGGTACATCCTGATGTATTTCCTGTCCACGTACCTCCCGCCCACATGTGATCAAACACAGCAGATGCAGATGGTTAAACAAACTTGTTTAGCAGGGTGAAAACATGTGGCTTGTTATCTCCCATAAATAGTAGCCTCCAGCATTTCTGGAACTATCTATCCTTTGGTGCGAGGCTTGCAGATCAGAAGCATTTTTTTTTTTCATGGATCTCTTAGGCATAGTAATTAAAACTTAAAATGTAACTGAGGCTCTCACCTCATAGAAGCTTTATTTGCAATGGCCAAACCATGGAAAAACAAGGAGGTAAATGGACATCATATACTATCCATACGATACCACACAGTGGTAAAAGGAGTGAGTTACCAATGTATGAAATAGCAGCGGGTTGGGAGATAGCCCAGTGGATAAAAGTACTTGTTGCACAAGCCTGAGGACCTGAGTTCAAACCCCCGAATCCACACAAAAAGTCAGCCAAGCAGTGCACTTCTCTGTTACCCCAGTGCACCCACAGAGAGATGGGAAGTGGAGACAAGAGAATTGCCAGAAGCTCACAGGGCAGCTGGCCTGGGGCACACAGCAGCAAACACCAGAGACCCTGTCTTCAACAAGGCAGAAGGTGAAGACTGAGACCCGAGGCTGTCCTCTGATAGGAACCATGGCACATGAGTCCTCCCTTTCCCAAACAGAAACAACAGAGACTACTCAGAATAATCACATAAAGAGAGCAGACAAAAACAAAACCAAACCATGGTAGATACTGTAAGGTTCCGTTAATTTTTAAAATCCTGGGAAATTCAGATGGCTCTTCTAGAAGCAGATGGATGTCTGCCTCACTCCAGCGGCTGGTACAGGGAGGGAGGGCTTCTAAAGAATGGAAGGGAGTTCTTGAGGTCATGGAAATGTTTATTAATTTGATTGTGGTGGCATGTTTACAAATGTGTACATCAAAACTCATCTATCTGAAGACAGGCATGGTGGGACACACCTCTAATCCCAGCCCTCAGGAGGCGGAGGCAGGTGGACTTCTGTGAGTTTGAGGCCAGCCTGGTCTACAGAGTGAGTTCCAGGACAGCCAGGGATACATAGTAATGTGGTGGTAATCTAATTGTACTGAAATATTATTTTGATTATATGTTAATAAATAAAGTTGTCTGGGGGTCAGAGCTATTAGAGCCATAGCAAGAGTGTGGCGGTGGTGGCACA